AAATGAAAAAGTCTCAATCATGGAAGCAACATATATCATTTACAAATGACTGAAAAAGCTTTAAAATATTTAAAAGCTATATAATAAAATAGGTTGGCTCTCAAAATTTTATCAGGCTCACATATATTGGGACAAAAAAAATAACACATCATTTTAATATTACCAAAAGAGTATTATAAATAATAATAATTAACAACTTAAAATATCTGAAAGACTTTTTAAAAGGGTTAATTTTGTAATTTTATCCATATTACATAAATTAGGACAAAGTGACCAGTAATGTACATTATTTCAAAGTTACATAAAAATATTATAAATCACAATAATTAATAACTTCAAACATTTAAAAAAAAATGAAAATTTGGATGACTCTCCAAATTTCATTTGTGTCACATAAATTGAGACAACAAAAATAACATATATTGGGTCCATTTTAATTTATTTGTCTTATTTTTTTTATATTTAAAAATTGCGTAAAAATAATATAAATCATGATAATTGACAACATAAAATATGTTTTTAAAAAAATACAAAAATTCCACTGATTCTTGAAGTGAATCTATCGTAAAAATACTATAAATCATGATAATTGACAACATAAAATATTTCAAAAATGTTGTATGTGGATAGGCTTATTATGCCTTAAATAGCGTCAAAGAAAGTACAGGTTTGTGATAAAAAAACTTATTCTTTCATCCACGCAAACAATCGCTTCAAAAACACGGTTATTAGACCCAAAACATACCATTTATATTATTGGACCCGTGCATAGCACGATATGTATATATATATATATATATATAATATATCTCACAAATGGAAAAGTCCCAATCAAGGAAGCAACATATATCATTTACAAATAACTTAAAAAGCATTAAAAATTACAATAATTACCAACTTAAAATATTTAAAAGCTATTTAATAACATAGGTTGACTCTCGGAATTTTATCAAGCTCACATATATTGGGACAGAAAAAATAACACATATCATTTTAATATTACCAAAAAAGTATTATAAATAATAATAATTAACAACTTAAAATATCTGAAACATTTTAAAAGGGTTAATTTTGTAATTTTATTCATATCACATAAATTAGGACAAAGTGACAAGTAATGTACATTATTTCAAAGTTACATAAAAATATTATAAATCACAATAATTAATAACTTCAAACATTTAAAAATATGAAAATTTGGATGATTCTCCATATTTCATTTGTGTCACATAAATTGAGACAACAAAAATAACATATATTGGGTCCATTTTAATTTATTTGTCTTATTTTTTTTATATTTAAAAATTGCGTAAAAATACTATAAATTATGATAATTGACAACATAAAATATGTTTTGAAAAAAAATACAAAAAATTCCACTGATTCTTGAAGTGAATTTATCGTAAAAATACTATAAATTATGATAATTGACAACATAAAATATTTCAAAAATGTTGTATGTGGATAGTCTTATTATGCCTTAAATAGCGTAAAAAAAATACAGGTTTGTGATAAAAAAACGTATTCCTTTATCCACGCAAACAATCGCTTCAAAAACTCGGTTATTAACCCCAAAATATACCATTTATATTATTGGGCCCGTGCATAGCACGGGCAACATTATCTAGTAAATAAAAATTCTATGTATCGTCCTAAACAAAATGTCTTAGTTTTATTGATTATAAAAATTTTAAAATAATAATTATTGTTTGAATATTAGTAGAAATAAGCAAACAATTTTATTAACACATTCGAGTACTTAAACATTTCACAATTAGGAAATTAAATTTAAAATGTGAATAGTTCTTTTAATTTAGCAGTATTAAACTTGTCACGTAAAATATCAAAATTGAAAAATTTACTATATACTACTATGTTAAGTTGTTAACTTTTACTTGTCCATTATTTTAAAAATAGATTTTTACTTTTTAACATTTTAAAAAAGGATTAAAAATAATAATCATATTTTACTCTTAGTATTAATTACTTATTTCTCAAATTATTGTTCAAAATTCAATACTAAATATCAATTATTATAATATCATAATATTAATTATTATTATTTTTAAAACGTGCAAAATTGTTTTTCCAATTGAATAATAATAATAATAATAATAATAATTTGACAGGTGAAATTCAATCAATCCAGGCTAGAACTCAGCTAAAGTCAAAAGTAAAGATGATTTGATAACAGGAAGGGAAAGAATAACTCCAAAATATTAATTACGAATGTGTTTATTGTGAGTTTCTTTTCAAAAAGTAAATTTGAATTGTTTTCCCCTTTTAATTAGGAATGTTTATTGCATGATTCATGAAAATGCCCAACTAAAAGAATAAAACAAACTTGTTTCAATCAAAAGATTAAAATTGATAATTGTTTTTTATTACATTCTTGATATTAAATAAGAATACATAACATGGAAATTAATTTAAGGAAAAAATGACAAATATACCCCCGAACTATCGTAAATGGTATGCAGATACCTTCCGTCATACTTTTGGAACATTGGTGCCCCTGCTGTCTAAAAACTAGAGCATATAGACACTTCACTCTAACGGAAGACTAAATAGGGACACGTGGCACAATCTTATCAGTTGATCCGATATTTAATAAATGTCGGGTTGGTGGATAAGATTACGACGCGTGTATGTCCGTTAGTATAAAGGGTATATATGCTTTAGTTTTTGGATGACAGAGGCACCAATGTCCCAAAAATATGATGGAGGATATATGCATACTATTTACGATAGTTCGAGGATATATTTATCATTTTTAACACTTTAACTTCAACTTTTCACATGACATGTTTAAGGCCACAAGATTAAAGGGTATTTTGGTACATTTGATATAACTTTAATTTAAAACCACAAGATTTAAAAGTCTTCTTTCTTTTCTTAAACTTCGTTCCAAGTCAAACTAGGACATTTTTTTTGAAACAGAGGGAGTACTAGGTTGCATATTCAGTATTTCGATATATTATTTCTAAATATAAAATATCGTACTGAATATAAAAAATATATATATATATTTTATACCATATCTATTATTATAACACCAAAATTACAATATTAGAAATTATGATATACTATATCATGGAGTTAATATTTTACAAGGTCATTGAACTTTATAAAATTATCTAACAAAGTCATTGAACTTTGTTTTATATCAATAAAATCACTCAACTTATAAGACTTTTATCTTTAAAAATCACCAATGTACATTTTTCATTAAAAAAAATTTAGATGACAAATTAAATTATTTTTTATGTCATATAATTATAATTATGAACTCCACAAATAAATAAAATTATAAAATCTGTTAATTTCGAAAGGAACTTAAATCTCAACTCTGTGAAACCAGAAAGGAATGGTAAATCAGATCCCATAATACACATGATGCTTGGCATCAATTAGCTGCCTGAGTAATTAGGATCAGCCACTACATATATTTAATAATAAGAAACAACAAAGTACGAAAATAAAGATCCCAAGAAAGTTATCAAAAATCTGGGTAATTCATTATCTTTGAACAAGACGTCGATTCAGATCGAATTTGTTTGTAAATCCGGGCGATGCGTTCAAAGTGATGGCATAGAGCGAGAGAGGGAAAAAATGGGTATAAAAATAAATAGTTTTTATAATTTTTTTATGGGTAGAGTCCATGATTACATGACATAAAAATAATTTAATTTGTCATTTAAAATTTATTTTATTGATAAATGTAATTGAGTGATTTTTTAAGATAAAAGTCTTAAATTGAGTAATTTTATTAATATAAAATAAAATTTAATGACTTTACTAAATAATTTCTCATAATTTAGTGACATTTTAAAATATCAACTCCTACGAAGAGTAATGAAAGAGCATTAGTATCAAAAACATCAAATCCGTACGCGGTGTATTTGGGCCGTCAACAACACCGAGTAAGACTCTGTCCCACTCCATGTCTCCATCCCACTTCACTCCACCAAATCTCACCCATATGTTCTACTCTCTTTTACTACTCCTTAGACTTTGACATCTGTTAAATACTCTAATATTCTATCCGTTTAATTTTATATGTTACTTATTATTAGTTTTAAAAAAAATTATTTTATTATAATTAAAAATAATTTAATTTCAAATTTTCACTTTATTTTTTAATAAAATAATTGACTATTACATAAATATGACAATAAACTTTATAAGTTTTTTTCTTAAATATCGTGCTGAGTTAAACAGTGCCACATAAAATTGGATAATAATAAATTTAATATTTCAGAAATTATATTAAAAATGACTATAATTAATACTTAACAGTAAAAATAAACTAAATGATAAATTATTTTTTAATTTTTTAAATTGACTAAGTAAAAATTTAACAATAATATTTAGTGTAATAATCAAGTTTAAGTAAATGAAGAAAATATTATATTAGAAAGGTGTGTGACTCTATATCGGACTCACTTTAAAGTTTATTGTTTAGCTTTCTTTGCCCCAACTTGGGTGTACTAGAATATACAAATGAGTAGATAGCACTTTTTTATATTTCCGCTCGTGGGAATATTTTTTTCCTTATAAATAAAGTCAGCACATGTTAAATATGCTTCAGATGCTTAATATATGGCACGTTTTTTTCAGTCGACATATAAAATGAGCTTTCTAACATCATCTTGCGAAATATAGTGGGCCCGGTGCCATCAAAATCGCCAGGTGATTTCATCCCATCTCACACTACCGGTGTAGTTTCAATCTTTCAGTATTGATAGAATCAAATTCAAAATTTAAGATCTAATAAATTAAAGTGTTTTTGCTATTACATACTCCAAAATAGTCATACAAAAAAAAACACCAAAAAAAATTATATTTAAATTTATGATTAAAACTAAATTGTTTGACTTTAAAAATTCAAATGTACTATGCACATAATTGAGATAGATAAAGTATTTATACTCAATATTAAAAAATTCAAGTTCAACTGAATTATGAGGTTCTGTTCGTCTCTAAAAATGGGGAGGCAATTACAAGAACAAAACATTACTCGCATTAATACCTCATGTTTTTTACATTTCATTCGACTTTAATGATTTTTGTCGAACAACATACTGCACAACCCGAAAATGAATAGACTTGCAACTAATATTTTTTTTCTAGGTACTATAGAGCCCAGATTTGATTTTTAAAAATTACAACAGGGCAAAGCACCTTAATATACTAACTTCTTATTTATTTATTTAATTTGTTTTCAATTCGAGTAACTGAAGCTTAATTTCTTTTAATATTGTTGGACTCGTCTTTTTTTAGTAACGGGAAGCTTAAAAGCTGTGAACATTCCCGCCAGAATCAGAAGAGTCGCCATTGAAATTCATCATGGTCAACCAATCTTGAATTTCATTGTCACCCATCAACTGATCCCAAATTTCATTTCCAAAATCCGAATTATTATTCGCTGTCTGCGATTGCTGAGGCTCTTCTGGTAATTGTTGTGGTGAAGAAGATAAAGTGCTCTGTTGTTCTTGAGTGTCAACAGTATAATCCGCAAACGAAAAATTCAATTTAGCTCGTGGACCCCTGAATTCAATGGCGGCTTTGTCATAAGCTCTAGCTGCTTCTTCTGCCGTAGTGAAAGTTCCCAGCCAAACACGTGCAGCTTTTCGAGGATCACGAATTTCTGCTGCCCATTTCCCCCATGGCCTCTGTCTCACTCCTCTGTAATTCTTCTTCTTTTTCTTTGCGATCGCGACTGTAGTAGTACTACTCTTCTTCTTATTATCAGCAATAGGAGCAGCCACAGCAGCAGGCGCAGAAGAAGAAGAAGTAGAAAATGTGGTACCAAAAATGTCGCAGCCTAAACAACCTTGAATTCTGCAAAATTGACAAGGTTCTTGTTCTGCAGGGACACCCAATACTTGTTCGAAACTCGTGGACATACTAGTAGAAGGCGAAGATGAAGAAGTAACAGTCGTGGTGGTGGTGGTGGTGGTTGTAGTGGTGGCAGTAGAATATTGATGAGGCGAAAAGAAATTGAATCCTTGATTGTTTTGCATTGGAATATTACCATTGATGACATTTTTCAGAGTCGCAACCATAACAGAGTACTCTTCATCTCCAGTAAGCCTTGGTTGCTGCTGCTGAAATTGATTGTTATTTTGGAGGGAATTCGAATTCAAATTCGAAGTCGGTCTAAATCTCTTATTTAACCAATGCATAGTTGAAATTTTGGTCTTTTAAGTTTCAGATAGTTATTTTATTTTTCTAGTTGAGTTGAGAGTTGAGTTGTGAAGTAAGGTCAAAGGGGAAGCAGTGGTTTATATACCGCGGAAGATGACAGCTCATACACTTATAATACACGGAATAAGAATTTTTAGAGCTTATAAAAATTGTTTCAGTTATTCACCTAGGTGATGTATTTGATGACACCATTTTGTGGGGGAGCGTTCACACGCTACTTTTTGGCCTGGACCGCCTTATCAGTTATGTTTGCGCTAAAAAATAATTTTGGGGTCCATTCCCCACTTAAATAACGCCATTTTTTCTCCCTCTAATTTTTTAGGCCATTTAAGAAGTGTACGTATAAATTAATAGTGGATACATGAGGTGGGACATTTTAGTAGCATGATGTAAATATAGGTGTAAGTTTTGTATATATTTAATTTTATTACTAAAAAAATAAGAAAAAATAAAAATTTTAATAATTCTATAAATAAATTCAAAATAGTTAAAGATAATTTTTAAAATGAAATTATCATCCACTACATTATCGATCTCCATATCTATTAATCTTCCCCATTGATCTTTTTAAGCCGTGTGCTTAATTTTTGTGGACATTACCTAAATTATGATTGGGACTGTTGATTTGGGTAGGGGTTGAAAAGTTGAAAAATTGAAAAATTGAAATTATATCTGAACATGCAATTTCAATTTCAAAAGTTGTATTTTTTATGATAAATATGAAAATTAAATTTCACACATTTAGAATTTTAAATTAAAACTTTTATTCAAACTATATATAAATACACACTAATTTTCAAATCAAACTTCAATTTTTTAATTCGAATTACATACCAACAAAACGGTTGGGTGTCAAAAGGTGTGATTGAAAAATGAAGGATTAGTGATTTTTTTAGAAGAGTTGTGACTTTTTTGATGTGTTGTACTTTTCTGAAGAATTGCGACTTTTCGGAAAGATTGTGACTTTTTTCGAATGGTATGACTTTTCTAAACGGTTGTGATTTTTCTAAAAGTTCGTGACTTTTTTGAAAGTTTGCGACTTTTCCAAAGAGTTGTGATATTCCGATAGTACACAATAAGCACTTGTTCATACTACATTTTGTTAGTCTATAAATAGAGGGTTTCCTCTCATTTCTTAACAATGGATTTTCTTAACTTCTTACTATTATAGAGATGCAAATTCTAGTTTACTTTACTATCGTTGACATCGTAATTTTAGATACTGATACACCGATGAATAAAATTCTACTATCCTGAAAGGACACATGCCAGTAACCTCAAATACTTGAGGGCAATAATTTTCTTAAGGGATACATTATGCATTCTATGGACTTAATTTACTAATTTTAATGTTCTAATTTTAAAAATATACTTTAAACTTTGTTATTTTCTATGAATTTCTCCAAAAAAAAAGTATTCTAAATATCTTAATAATACAAATTAACCAACAAAAAACCCTAAAGAAGTTTGTAAAACAACTTCAGCATTATGCAGATGTTAGAATTTTCTCTTCTTTTTTTCTCCTCCTTTCATCCATCTCTTTCTTAGAATAAAATAAATTATAAACACACAATTAAATTTGACAAGGAATAAAATATATATTTTGTAAAAAATTAAAGAGCCAATTTATGTAACGTGATTTCTTTTTAGTCATTTTTAATTTTTTTGAAATAAATGGTAAAAGTACAGCATCTAGCTAAAGCGCAAATTCGTAATCCAACATGTCTAATCATACAGTATTAGTCTGTTAATTCATCATTAACAAAATGAATAAATACTTGTGTTATTTTTTCGAATAAGAAAACTGTTAATTCAGGGCTGTAAATGACCAAATATCTAAAAGAGATCCGCGTTTCACTTAGCAGATATACTAACACAAGCCAATAATAACTTAATTAACTCGGTTGATTACTTAATTTGATACCTAATGTTCCAACGTTATTTTAAGAACTCCACCAATTCATAGTCACATCTTAATTCGATCTATGATTTCATTATTAGCCCATTTGAACATGCGATAAAAATCATGATATGAAATTGATATTTTGTTTGAATATGTAATTTGTTTCTTAAACAGTATCCCCCTCCCCCAGTGAATATGAAAACCTCATAAGTTACGAAATATTTGTAAAATTTCTCCAATTCTTATACGTTGATTAAAAAAAAGAACACCAATAAACTCGTGCTATTGAGAAAAAAGAAAGAGGCAGTACAAATGATACTTTTCTTTTTTGTCCTAATTGCAGATTCGTTTGTTGTACAAATGATATTGACAAGAGAAAAAGCTCTTCATTCCTTTTTCTTTTTAGTACGTTTAAAAGATTTTTTTTTCTTTTTAGCAATTTTTTTAATTCAACATTCTGTGCCATATGTTTAAAAGTCTATTTGGTCATTTGGATTGACTTAAAAATTGGGTAAACATATTTTAAAATTATTTTTAGCTTTTGAAAATGTTTGATAAGATTAAAAATTACTTAAAATAAGTTTAAAACAACTTAATTTAATAAAGTTAAAATTTAAAAAATAGGTCTCCCTACTTTTTATTTTTTGACTTAAACGTCATTTAAGTTTGAGTTTTTTTTATAAAAAAAAACCACTTTTTAAAACCAATCAAAACAAACTCTAAGTTCATATTCCATGAGTATATTCTTAATTTAAAATCATAACATTTTTTAATAATATTTATCAAATCAAATTCAGAAAAACAAATTGAAACAGAAAAAATATATATTTTATGGAGCCATGTTGATTAGACGTTTCATGGAATCACAAGGTTGTAATTTTGTGGGCACCAAACGCCCCAACAACGTGAGATTTTTGAGGTTTAGTTTTCACTTATTATATTTATATACTCCGTACACTCTATATTTTAGCAATAAGTGCTCTTAATATATAGTGTGGTGCACCTTAGGTCGGCAACTAAAGACTCAAGATTCCCCCTTTCAAGTCAAGATATAATAATAGCATGAGTTAGATATAAAGGCTCAAATTAACCATCAACTAAATTATTGGCTATGAATCATTCTTCAATTAAATAATACAGTAAGTAATTGTGGGGTTGTCTTTATATTCCCGTTATTATGTGTGTCATAAAAAAAAAATCATTTTAATTTTGGTGAGATGATTTATAGTCATAAAAATATCTATGACTTGTTTTAAATTATAAGTTTCAAAAGGTTTTCGATTTATTATTAAACTATGTTGCCAGTCTAAATACCTAGAACCGAAGTAGTTTGATTTCTTTCCTGCTTTTTGTTTTCTCATTTGATGTCCATTATTCATTTTCAACTAAATCGGATTCACGTCAAAAAGTGTTATATTTAGGTAAAACACTTTCTAATAAAATCAATTTCATATCAAATGAGATCAGAACTCAAAATCTTTGATTGAGGATGAAGTACTGCTCCAATACTACTCCACCATAACTCTCATTGGAGTATAATTAACCTCTTTCTAATTAAGGGGATGTCTATATTAATGGCAGAACCAAAAAATTCTAATAGGAGTATTATGTGGAGTCGCACATGGGTGGGATAAGGGTTCATTCATTTCTTTATATATTCTTGGACAATTCTTTCTTTTAAGCTAGCTTTTCATATTGATCTAACTAGGGCTAAGGTCTATTTCTTTATCGCTATAGTAAATGATTTATCTCAACTCATTGTTTTCGAGTCCTAAATTGTGCAGGCTTCATATGTTCAAGCTTGAATGTGTGGGTGGTGTTGGAGTATCCCACATAGATGATTAAATAGTCATTGGTTTCCGTACACAGTCTTAGACAATCATGTTTTATATTTAGGTAACTTTTTGAATTGAATTAAATTTAAAATTCATTTCTTCGATCGTATTAAAAAAAATTACACTGAGAATTTTTCTTATATAAAGGGGCCATTCAACATGCAAGTTATAGCTCAGCCCCTGATCTATACAGATGAATTCAAGATGTTTTAACAATCGTGTTTGTAGGTTACTAGGTATATCTTACTTAGGTGACGTATATAGCGCAAAAGTTATAAGACAAATAACAAGATATATTATGGATAAATGTGAACTTATATCCACACAAATAAATAATAAATGGATTTGAAGCACATGGCGCTATAGTTTAATTAGGACAAAAAAAAGATACGGATAAATGTGGATTTATATCCACACAAATAGATTTGAAGCCTTTTTGTTGTTAGCTTCTATCTCTATATCTGATATTTTCTATCTCAATTTATACGACTTATTCTTCTTTTTAATCAGTATAAAAAAGTAACATTTTTCTATATTCATTTTAATTTTAAAATACTTATTTTATCATTAATGTAATAATTTTTAACCATATAAATATTTATCATTTTAGACAATAAATTTTAAAAGTCTTTTTTTTCCCTTAAATTTCGTCTTAAGTAAAACAACTCATATAAATTAAACAATGATAAGTTTCATTTTGATTTGACTCAAAAAAGTTCACTTTATTCAAACAATGACAATTTTCCTTTTTTTTTCTTTTTCTTTTCTAAAACAAAGGTCGGTATATGCAGTTTCCTCATGTGACTCAATAAATAGTAATAGCACTAATTAAGTAGTTATCCTCATGACTCATATATGCATTATAAAATGGAGGAAAAAAACAAAGGTCTTGTCTAGAAATTGGCATCTATAAAGTCATAAATTATTGAAATTATTATTCATAGAAAAGCAATGAGTACAATAAACAAATATATATGTTATTATTAATGTGAATATAACAAACAAATTTTACAGTTGAAGAATATATAGTTTCAAAAATGAAAGAAATTGGAGTATACTCGCATTTGACACTGGCCTGAGTGGAAGACTACCAAATTATAAACTATATATCTCATTTAATTTCGCTACAATTATAAGATACAAATTAATTTGAAAGTAATACACCAATTAATATGAATAATATGGCGAAATATTCATATGAATTATTTTTATTTTAAAAAAAATGTACGATATCTAGTAAAGAATGTGTCAAATAAAAATTGATCAAGTAAAATAAAACAGATGGAACA